GTAATACAGGAGAAAAAAAATGAGATTTTGGGGGCTGGGTGGGCTTATTTTCCCCTCGGTGGATTCAACTGACCTGAATCTCTCCCCCCAAATCATTAATGAGCCCAGGCGGGGGGTGTTTTATGAACGGGGAGGTGAATAGCCACAAAAATTAATTAAAAAAAAATAATCAGGGCAAGAGGTGGGAGGGCATCAATAAAAGCTGGAGGAACTGATGTCAGCTCCGTGCAGGATGCGGGGACCCGTGTTCCTGCCGGGGGTGCCGAGGCCTCACGCTTCCAACCAGCACAGATTTGGTAATACAGGAGAAAAAAAATGAGATTTTGGGGGCTGGGTGGGCTTATTTTCCCCTCGGTGGATTCAACTGACCTGAATCTCTCCCCCCAAATCATTAATGAGCCCAGGCGGGGGGTGTTTTATGAACGGGGAGGTGAATAGCCACAAAAATTTCTCTCAGGTGATTTCTCGTGCAAACCACTCGAGTGATGGAGAGCGAAGCTCCTTCTCCTCTTCCTCTTAGGAAAGTCCCGGAGAAACCTCTTCCTCCTGCTCTCGGAGGGTTTGCCAACATCCTCCGACAGCTTTTAAAACAGAAAAAAAAACCAAAAAAAAGGAGTCTGTCTTTGGCTCTGCACTTGTTGAACTCCCCTTCAGCAGGTTTACTTAGTTTTAGTCATTTATTTACTTGTCTGGGCTGGAGTGCTGGCTGGATGGGAGCAATGGAAGTGGATTTATTATATTTTTTTTAGGGTAAATGAGGACTTGGGAATAAAACCCAGACCTGGCCCAATTGTCCAAAGAGGGTCCTGGGGGTGCAAGCAGGATCTCCCTTGGGTTTAGGCTGGGTTTGGCCATGGTGGCTCCTTCCTCACTCTTTATTTCTTCCTCCCGGGGAGGAGGAGGTGGATCCACTTCACATGAAATGAATTCACACAAACAATTTGGGACAATTTGAAGCAAAATGGTATCGATGTGATAAAAGCCATGGGTGCGTTTGGCTGGGTGGGAGGTGGGGGTAAGCGTTGGGGGCTGGAGGTGAGAATTGAGGTGCCAGCTGAAGTGGGGAAAGAATTTGGGGACACAAGGGGTGGGAGATGCCTTAATGTCCCAGCTGGGTCCTTGCTGCTTTGGTGGGGGCCAGGTCCTGGGAGACACCAGCTTCAAGGGAGCAAAGACCTCCCCGAGCTCTACCATCGGTGCTACCTGGTGACTCTGCTGGTTCCTGGCTGTGGAAATGGAGAACCTGGAGGAACCCATCTCCTCTGAGGTCCTGGATGGGCTGATCCAGAGGGAGAGGATGGAAAACTGGGGTGGAGAGAGCCATGCTTCACAGCCCAAAGACCTTGCGTGGGTGTCTGCTGCCCGAGATGATGGTTGGGATGGACAGTGGGCACAGGACAGACCCAACCAGCCCCAGGTGGGACCACGTAGACTCTTTTTTTTGGTGTAGAAATGCTCTGTGTGGCTGGCATCTCACGAGATGGTAGCCCTGGCTAGCAGAGCCTCTGTTGTGGTGGCCACCTTGGCACAGGTCCCTGGCCCAGGCTCAACCCTGCCTTTTCCAGCTTGGTTTTTTATGGGCAGCGAGGCCTGAGAGCAGCTCGTTAGCTTGGGTTTATAATTGCTGGCTTTCCCCTCCCTGTGAAAGAAGGATGCACAGAGTGAGGAGGGGGTGGGTTAGGGGGGCCGCTTGGCTTGGACACTTTGGTCCTCGGATTTTATTGATCATTAATAACACTTTTCTGTACCTGCTAGCCAAAGTTTTGGGATGGAAGGGTTTCCTAGTGGGAAAAGTGAGTTTCCTCCAAATCAAAAGACATTTGCAAAGCAAAAATGACACTTTTTTTTTTATATATATTTTCTTTTCACTTTATTTCCAACGCTTTGTTTTGCTCTTGTTAAAAAAAAAAACAAAACTGCCTGGTGTAAAGTATTTTTGCACATCGTTTGCCTGTCTTGAGGGGAGGTTTTATATTCAGGTGCGTGTTCATAATGGAGATTCCTACTTTTAAGAAATTAATAGATGCCAAAAGGACATATTTCTGCCTAATTAACAGGGCACAACTGGGTGCTGCCCGACGGGGGGAAACTGTGGGTACAGGGTGAAACAGAAGATGCTGAGAAGCCCCGTTAGATCCAGGCTGTGCCCAGTTCAGGCAGAGATTTGCTGTGTGTGTCCCCCCCAGTTCCTCCCAGTCTGGGAAGAGCTGGAGATGGGGGTACCCAGGGAGGGGGGCTGGATTCTGCCTCGTGCCCACGGGAGCGAGGTGGACCCACGGGGGCTGCGTGTCTCCCTCCCTCGTGATGGATCCCAGATGATTTCTCGGCCCCAGCAGCCCAGTCGCTGGGGTGAGATTAGAAACGGGGGGGAAACTGTGGATACAGAGTGAAACAGAGGATGCTGAGAAGCCCCGTTAGATCCAGGCTGTGCCCAGTTCAGGCAGAGATTTGCTGTGTGTGTCCCCCCCCAGTTCCTCCCAGTCTGGGAAGAGCTGGAGATGGGGGTACCCAGGGAGGGGGGCTGGATTCTGCCTCGTGCCCACGGGAGCGAGGTGGACCCACGGGGGCTGCGTGTCTCCCTCCCTCGTGATGGATCCCAGATGATTTCTCGGCCCCAGCAGCCCAGTCGCTGGGGTGAGATTAGAAACTGGAACTTTTACAGGCTGTTTTTGTGGGGTTTGTGGCTTTCCTTTCCCTCTCGCCGTCTCCAAAGTCCAGGATTCCCTATAAATCATCCTCTAGCCCCAGCCCAGCCTTGCTGTTTTAAGTTTAACTCGCTTGGTTTTTTTGCTGATAAGCCAGACTTTGAATTCTTTCCTCCCCCTGCTTCAAGATCACAGGTTGGGGCCGTTAATATCACAAAGGAGAGGCTGTTAATCATGATATATCACATGCCAATAGGAACAGCATCGAGGGCTCGTTTCCCTTAGATCAGCAATTCCAGGCAGAGCACTTGTATCTCGTGGAGCTGGTGGGAGGGAAGAGTCAGGGGCTCCCAGCAGATATAAATTAGGTTTATTATCGGAGCCAGCTCCACAGAACCGCAGGGCAGAGCTCTGAGTTATGTGCAAAAGGGCAAGAGGAAAATGGACACCAACGGCAGGAGAACGCTGTGGTGTCCACCGATGGTTTTGTCGGTGTTGGGTTGATGGTTGGGCTTGATTTGGAATGTCCCTTCCAACCCAGGCAACAGCTTCTTCAGGCTTTGCTCCTGGCTTTGCTCCAAATTTCTCCTCTTACACCCACCTCAGTCCAAAGAGACCCGAGGGTGGGACTGAAGGGTGGCCCAAAGCATGGAGAGAACCTGCTACACCCTCTTGTTTCCTTCTCTTGCTCTTCTTTGCCCCCACCCTGTCAGCCCATAAATTACTTTTCCTTGACAGCTCCAGGCAAACGGCTGTGGTGTCCACCGATGGTTTTGTCAGTGTTGGGTTGATGGTTGGGCTTGATTTGGAATGTCCCTTCCAACCCAGGCAACAGCTTCTTCAGGCTTTGCTCCTGGCTTTGCTCCAAATTTCTCCTCTTACACCCACCTCAGTCCAAAGAGACCCAAGGGTGGGACTGAAGGGTGGCCCAAAGCATGGAGAGAACCTGCTACACCCTCTTGTTTCCTTCTCTTGCTCTTCTTTGCCCCCACCCTGTCAGCCCATAAATTACTTTTCCTTGACAGCTCCAGGCAAACGTGGTACGTTTTCCGATCCATCACGGTCTGATCCTTGTTTTCCTGGCCAGGGACCGAGCTCCTTTTCTAATATCACTGTTGACTTTGGCCAACGTCTATGTGGTCACATCTACTCGACCCTCCTTCTCCTCAGAGCTCAGACCAGAGGTCTCAGAGTTGTGTTCCTGGAGGATTAACCCTGCAAAGCCCCACGTAGCACCCAGCATAGATCACCCTTATCAGAAGAGGGACCAACAGAGCTGGAAGGAGAGCAGCTCTTGGGTGGGTTTGCACCCAGCTGACGGTACTGGTATGAGGTGGGAGGTGGAGGAGTCCTCCCTGAGGCATGTCATGTGCTAAGAGCCTCTGGAAAAAAATGGATTTATCAAGATTAAAAGTCATTCTGATGAGGGTAACTGGGAGAGCCTGTCAGGAGCTGCGAGACGTGTGTGGGGTTGTGGTTACCAGTCTCTGCTAACGCCTGGTACTGGGCAGCCCAGCCCCTTCCACCCCAATCTGTCTTTGGGCTGGCTCTGAACCCCCAGCCTGACCAAATCACCCTTATCAGAAGAGGGACCAACAGAGCTGGAAGGAGAGCAGCTCTTGGGTGGGTTTGCACCCAGCTGACGGTACTGGTATGAGGTGGGAGGTGGAGGAGTCCTCCCTGAGGCATGTCATGTGCTAAGAGCCTCTGGAAAAAAATGGATTTATCAAGATTAAAAGTCATTCTGATGAGGGTAACTGGGAGAGCCTGTCAGGAGCTGCGAGACGTGTGTGGGGTTGTGGTTACCAGTCTCTGCTAACGCCTGGTACTGGGCAGCCCAGCCCCTTCCACCCCAATCTGTCTTTGGGCTGGCTCTGAACCCCCAGCCTGACCAGTTTAGCCAAAAAAACCCTCAAAACCCTCATCCCTTCAGTCCCAGCATCCCCCAGAGAAGCCCCTGGGTGCCAGATGGTGATCTTTTATCTCGCTTGGCCCAACAGGCCACGAATTCCTGCTCCTTCACCACGGGGGGTGGGCGAGGGAGGGGGCATCTTGCCCAGTGGCTCCTCTGCTCAGGAGACAGCTCCTGGTGTCACACGGATCAACCAGTCCATCCCCTTGGAAAATTTTCCTGCTGCTCACCCAGCTGGGGTCTGGAGAGCAGCCAGGGTCCATCTGTGCCTCCGTGGGAAGGCGGGATGGGAGGACACGGAGAGGGCACTCTCGGGGCTTTGCTGTCTTCATGGGAATTCATCTTGCTTTCCCTTTCCCTTTCCTTTTTTTTTTCTTTTTTTTTTTCCCCTTTGAGGGGATATTTTAAACCACAAAGATGCCATTTTTTGTTTTTTTCTACAGTTCGGGAAGGTCAGTGGCTGTGAGCTGATGGCACCCTGTGAGCTACCAGCACCTGCAGCACCAACACCTTCCCCTCGGTGGCTTTTGCAAGAGAAGACCAGTTTGGCTGGCAAAGGCTGGGACCACCTCGGAGGTAGGCTGTGCTCCCCCCCCAGTGAATCATGGCCAGCTCTGGAGTCCTCAGCACAGAAAGGACGTGGACCTGTTGGAGTGGGGCCAGAGGAGGCCATGGAGATGCTGGGAGGGCTGGAGGACAGGCTGAGAGAGTTGGGGGGTTCAGCCTGGAGAAGAGAAGGCTCTGGGGAGACCTTCCAGCCCCTTCCAGTCCCTCAAGGGGCTCCAGGAGAGATGGGGAGGGACTTTGGGTCAATGAGGGGAGCCATAGGAAGGGTTTGACCCTGAAAGAGGGGAGATGGAGCTGAGATGTGGGGAAGAACTTCTTTGGTGTGAGGATGGGGAGACCCTGGAGTAGAAGCGGTGAATCATGGCCAGCTCTAGAGTCCTCAGCACAGAAAGGACATGGACCTGTTGGAGCGGGGCCAGAGGAGGCCATGGAGATGCTGGGAGGGCTGGAGGACAGGCTGAGAGAGTTGGGGGGTTCAGCCTGGAGAAGAGAAGGCTCTGGGGAGACCTTCCAGCCCCTTCCAGTCCCTCAAGGGGCTCCAGGAGAGATGGGGAGGGACTTTGGGTCAATGAGGGGAGCCATAGGAAGGGTTTGACCCTGAAAGAGGGGAGATGGAGCTGAGATGTGGGGAAGAACTTCTTTGGTGTGAGGATGGGGAGACCCTGGAGTAGAAGCTGTGGTTGCCCCATCCCTGGAGGGGTTCAAGGGCAGGTTGGAGGGGGCTTGGAGCAACCTGCTCTGGTGGGAGGTGTCCCTGCCCAGGGCAGGGGGGTTGGAACAAGGTGATCTTGAAGGTCCCTTCCAACCCAACCCATTCCATGATTCTGTGTTGGTGGGGACACTGGCAGCATCCTCTGTGGCTCAGGGCTGATCCAGCTTGGTGAGCACTAGCTTCCCTCCCCCCTCACCTCTCTACAGCCATCATTTATGCCATCGAACTCCCAGGATGAATCCCTCCTCAAAGAGGAGGAGAGCTTTGTGGTGTATCTGCTTGATGGATGGGTGCGTGTTTACCTTGGCCTTCCCCGCCTCGTGGCTGCCGGATAGTTATCTGAGTGATGAATTCATCTGCCCAGGGACCCCCGAATCGTGGGGGCAGAGGGGAAGCATCTATTACAGTGGTTTGGCACGAGGAGGGAGGAATAACAGAGGGAGGAGACGGGCGGTGGTTGCACATCAAAGCCGGGCCTGGTTTTCTAGCCTATCTCCTAGATTTCTTCTGGCCGTGGTGAAACAAGTCTTGCCCGTTGGAGGCTCGTGTCTCTGTCTGCAGGGAGAAAAGGGAATTGCTTAATTCCAGCTCCTTGCCTCCTTTCCTACTGCTCGATCAAGCCACCCAGCAGAAACCAGGAGGTTCAAGGAGTGGGGCCATGGGCTTTACGTCCCACCAGGAGGGTCTGTGAAGCACCAGCAGCTCAGAAGATGCGTGGGCTACCCCTCTGGCAACCAAAATCCAAATCCCTCTTAGTGACAGCAGGGTGGGTTTGAGGTGGCTTTGGCTCAGAAAATAGCTATCATGGTTCTTGAAGGAAAATATGTTGGAATGATTTGGGGACAGGGATGCAGGGCAGGTCCCAAAGGTGCAGTAGATACAGTAGATACGTGGAGCCACTTGCAAAAAGAACTGGACCCCTATTTTTGGTTGAGTGCTTTTTTTTTTTTTCTCTGAAAATAAGCCCCTTTTTGGTATCTAAAGCCAAGGAACCCCAAAACGTGCACCCCGAGTGGTCTGAGAGAGGAGGTGTGGGGAGAACAGCCTCTTGCCTTGGTTTTGGTGGGAGGTTGTGTGACATCCAGTGCTGTCTCCGTCACCTCATCCCTTCGCACGGCCAGGTCATGGGGCTGCCATCAGAAAGGTCCATCTGGACCTGCTGGAGGCCATCTGGATGGCACGCTCGTAGAAAAAGAAAAAAAAAAAAGCTAAAAAAAGGGGTTGTGTTTCTTCTCCCCCACATCCTCAAAGTGTTCTTCACGAGAGGAGACCTTTTGCCAGCGTTGTGCAATGCTGGCTCGTTCTTCCCCTGAACTTTAGCCCTCCTTTAATCCCTGCCACAGTAACCTCCAGGGGAATGAGTGTTGCTAATTCCCCATTTCAGCCCCTACTGAAACCTTTCAGCTCCCTCCCAGGCCATTCTTCTGTGTCCTGTCACCCCACCTCCTACCACCGTGGCCGTGGTCCTCCTTTGGAGCCATCTCCATCCCCCAGCTTCCAACAAAACGATCTTGCAGATGGGCTCTGAAAATGAGCATCGTCCCCATCGCTCCTCGTCCCACAAAAAACCACGCTGAGCTTTCACATATTTTGTTTGTTTGCTTGTTTTGGCAAGAGGAAAAAAATATATATGAAAAAAAAAGAAAGAGGGGGGCTAAATTTCAGTATCCTGTGTCCTTCGTCTCGCGTTGTGGCTCCGGCTGGAAAAAGCCTGTCCCAGCTTCCTTCCCTTATCAGTTAATTAGGTGGTTAATGAGGGAAAGGCAGCTGGGCAGCCAAAGGCAGGGTCTGTGTGTGAAGCGTTATTGCTGCAGTTATTAATAGCCCAACTCTTGGGCAACGTTTCTGGATCCAGGAATGGTGGATGTGAGGAGCACGTGTTGGCTCCCCCCAGCTCTTTTTGGGGCGTGAGGTCTGCTTTCGGGGGGGCTCTCCCTGCTGATGGGGAGAAATCTGGGGGTTCTTCTAGGTTTTTCGAGTAGTTTGGCTCCGTTCCCCATGGGGGGGTTGAGCTGGAGGGTGGTGTAACCCCTCCAGAGCGGGTGGAACATCTCCACCTCTTTGGAAAATCAGGAGTAGAGGGGGGAGAAAGCAAGAAGGGGGTTCACAAAGACAAAGGATTGTCCAGGTTACAGCCACCCAGACCCTCCACCCACCCACACTTTCCAGGAAAGCCTATTTCTCACCCCAACCTTCCCCATCCCCTTTTCTTTGGAAATCACGACCGGCTACGTGTGATAATCACAGCTGGCTCTTTCCCTGGAAGAAGCCTTCCCCGTCCCACCCTCCTGCTGGCCTTCCCCACCCCGTAACACTTCTTCCAGGGACATTTCCAGCCCCTCCAGCTCTTCCAAAACCTCTCAAGAGCATCTGTTTGACGTGAGGCCGGTCGCCTGCAGCCCAACATCCATCCCGGCTGGAGCCAGATGGTTTTTAGCAGCAGGGGATGCTTTCCTGGGCATTAGGACTGGGGTCTGGTTGGGTTTTTATCCTCCCTGCTTTAGGTTTTTTGTGATTTGGGTTGTGTTTTTTTTCTCTCAGATCCACATTTATTAACCCCAAAGGGTGAAGCCTCGTTGAAGGGCATGGAAAGTGCCAAGGAATGCCATATTAAGGACCTTAATTAACTACCAGGACAGTTCTGGGTGTATCCTTGAGAGCATCCTCGAGGGGGTAAAGCAGTTCCTCCCTCTCCAAAAAGCTCCATCTCCAAAGCTTGGAGAGAAATCCACAATTTTTAAGCTTCTTCAAGGCAGCTGTAGGTGAGGCAGAGTCACCTAAGGGAGGCAAAACCACCTAAATTACACGAAGGCCCTTCCCAAACTTGCCCTCAGTTGGAGAAATCCTGATTCATGTCCCTGTTCTTGAACCCTGCAGGTGCCCTTGAAGAAACTGGAAGAGAAATTCAGTCCAATAAATCCGTGAGGACTAGGTTTTGGTGGATTTACTTTCTCAAATTCTCTATTTGTGTGTTACACGTTAAACTGGGGTGCCCGTGTCCAGCAGGCTTGACCAGAAAAGTGGGAATTCAGCCTGGAGGAAAGCATCAACCCCAATAAAAGCAGAAAATACAAAACTCCTACAAACCCTGCTCTGTAGGTCTGAATTAATGTGTGTGTCCCCTTCCTCCCCCCTTCCAGGGATGACCACACTGCCTCCCTTGTCTTCACGGGCCACCATCCCCGGGGCAGGACCCACCCCAGTGTGGTACCACCGGCTTGCCCCAGGCTGGGGATGGCCATTGTGGTCCAGACAATGGTCCACCCCCCAACCATGAATGGAAAATGCTCTCCTGTGTTGGGCTGACAACAGGCTCCCTGTTCTCCTGGGTAAGTTCTCCTGGGTAAGTTCTCCTGGGTAAGTTCTCCTGGGTGAAGGGAGCGCTCCCACCCCGGGCAATCCCCCCTTTGATCTTCCTGCTGGCTGCATTGCGTTTTCTTACTGCCCCTAAGTAATCCAGGACACTAAAAAAACATAGAGGAGAGGGAAAATATTCATTTACAGCCTTTTTCACTGTTTTTTCTTCAGGAGTTCCCCACAAAACCTGCTTATAAGAGCGCAGCAAGGAAAGATAGAGAAGGGAAGGCCCTCTGATAAACCCACGCTACTGGAGGATGCTCACACAAGACCTGAAACCATCTCATGGTGGCAAGGCCATAAATTCACCCTGAATGTGTAGGACACGGTGAGTTTTTAGCGTTTTCACACACCACCTTTTTGCACGTCGTCAAGAAGCAGGGTCTTTTGGGGGGAATACACGCATATAGGGGATTATGTATGATTACAGGAGTTCAGGATGAGGTTTGTTTGGGTTTTTTTTTTTCCCCTAGCTGATGCTATCCCAAAATTGGTTTAGACTCTCCCCCCTCCTCTCCCGGCTGTGTCTGCTCTGCGGTGGCGCGGAGCAGGGAGCAGCCGTGGGAGAGGAGCTGTAAAGAAAATAATCTGGCCTTTTTCTCTGCAAAAGTGCCAGGAGGAAGGGGCTGGGAAGAAGAAGGAGATCCCAGTCCTCTCCCACCACCCATCTCCCAAACCCCTTATCCCAGTTTGATACTGGTGTGGTCTGGCCAACTGGACCAGGGGTTTGGGCAAAGTGGCAGAACAAAATATGTGAATTACCAGACCCCTTTTCTCAGCTTTTTTCTACTTTTTTTTTTTTTTTAAGTGCTTTTGAGGAATACCCAAACACAGAAAACTTCAGCCCCAAAGGAATCTTATCCCAAGAATTTATGAGCAACTCAAAAAGAGAAGGCAGGGAGAAGAAACCGAAAGCTGGATGTAATGAGACTTTTTTTGGTGGCTTTTAGTTTAGTTTCAGATTTTTGCCGGGGCTTTAACTGGGAAGCTCAGGATTTCTGCAATGTCTGTAGTTGGGTGTTGAGGCAACTGTGAACTTTTGATCACTTATTTTCCTGGTCTCCTGCCCGTCTCCAAAAGGGAGGATCATCTGACCTTCTCGTTAAACTCTTGCTTTCAGATGCTGGTATGAGGGAGGAATGGGCAGAAATGCTGTGAAATGGGCTCAGGAGCTGCAAAACACCCAGAGACCTCCTCCTCTTGAAGGCACATCCCCGGGGGCTTGGCCCCAGATGCCTCAGGTGTTACACTTCAACACATACTCGTTACCCCAGCGTGAACTGATCTGGAAACACAAGAAAAGCTTTACTGGGGAGGAGAACATCAAGAGGGCGATGGGCAGATGCTTGTATGAGGGAGGAATGGGCAGAAATGCTGTGAAATGGGCTCAGGAGCTGCAAAACACCCAGAGACCTCCTCCTCTTGAAGGCACATCCCCGGGGGCTTGGCCCCAGAGAAGAAAAAAATATTCAAAATAAACAGGTAAGCGATGCCTCAGGTGTTACACTTCAACACATACTCGTTACCCCAGCGTGAACTGATCTGGAAACACAAGAAAAGCTTTACTGGGGAGGAGAACATCAAGAGGGCGATGGGTGGAATGGTCACAAGTGGTTTTTTGAGGAGGGGGGCAAAGCAGAAACCCACCCAGGAGTGAGCTGCTGCAACAAGCAAGCTGTCCAAGAGCTCTTTTGGAAGGACATCCTTGGCTAAAGCTCTGTCAAGGTGAGGGATGAGGCTGAGGGATGCTCAAGCCACAGGATTTACAAATAAGAGCTTGGATCTTCTTAAACCCGTGCCATTTTTGGGGGGGTCAGTCCCAGTGGCTGCTGGAGAAATCGCTAACACCACCACAGAGGGGTGCCAGGAATAAAAAAATAGAAAATCTAGGCTAAATCAGGGTAGAGATGTGTTTTCCCTGGGAAATGATCAGGGATAATCAGGATGGGGCAAGACGTGAGCATCTTCTCGGCTTAGCATCCTCTGCTGCCACTTCTCCTTCACTTCGGAGGAAAATCTGGCAATTTGGGGGCGTTGGTGCCCTAATTTGGGGAGAGCAGCCTCCTCCTCCTCCTCTCCCCTGCTCCGTGTTTTGCCAGAGACTGTTATTAAGAAATAAAGGCTCTGCCTTTTTATCATTCCTCCCAGCGTCTGTCTGATGTCATTCCGTCTGGCAACCCAGCGGTCGAAAGGAGCTCCCCCTGGGAGGAATTTCTCAAACAAACAGCCAGCGAGGAACAAAATAATACCCCATTAAATATAATAAAAGGCAAAAAAACCCCACAGAGTCTCCCTGATAAATGGAAAAGGCGGCGTAACCCAGACTCCCAACGCAAGGGACTTGCCTCCTGCCCTTCACCAGGTCACCCCAAGCTGGGATGAAGCCTTGTGCCCTGCTCTCACCTGGGTGATTACCCTTAATTGAAGCTATTTTGGGGTCTGAGATCACGAGGCTCTGGTCCAGCATCTCCCAGCCCACGCAATTTTGGCCAGCAACACCCTCAACTATCGCGCCGGGACCTGTGGATCAAGCAGGTTTAGCTCTTAATTTTATTTTTTTTAAGCAGATCGTTGGGGTTTGTGGGTTTTTTTCCCTCCTCTTGTGTAAGGCAAAGCAAATTCTGGCTCTGCTCCTCCACGTCCATTCTTTCTTGTGGGTTGCAGGGGTGACAAACAGCCCAGAGCCCTGGGGGACCCAAAAACGGGTCAGACCAAAGGAATTTGAGGCAACATGATGCAAAACTTCACTGGGGAGAGATGCCGACGTGCTTCACGGCCACGTTTTGGAAAGAGGGATGACCAAGCAGTGACTGGAGGCTGGATTTGGAAAAGAAAGGAGGGAGGGATTGGTCTTTTCATCTGAATTTGAAGAGGAGCTGTCGTGGAAGGGAGCGTGGAAGGGCTGATGAAAAGCCTGATCCCAGCTGGATTCTCTTGGATCCCTCCCTCTCACATCTGTAGCTGGGATCCTTCCTCTCCAAACCTCTTCTCTTCGCAGAGGTCATTCCTCTTTCCAAGCCTCCTTCCCCTCCTGCCTTGCAAATCTCTCTGCCCTTGTCTTCCCTCCTTCTGGGAGGTTTTTGGGGCCTTCAGTGGAGCCCCTTCTCTTTTTCCCCCACCACAAAACCTCCTCTTCTCTTGGCTTTGTTGGGACAACATCCCACCAGCAGCTCTGCCCATCATCAGCCGCGTAAAACAGGTCCCTTTTCATCAGAGGGACCCAAAAATGATGAGGGGAGCTGGCTCTTGCTGACAGCCCCGGGGTGGGAAGAGCATCCCAAAACGAGGAGTTGGTGGGTTTTTTCTGGTTTCTCAAGGTCACCCCTGCAAAGCTGGGATGAAATTCAGCACGGGAGCTTCCAGAGAAGCTCCAGCAGATCTGGGAGGGGAGCGTGGAGAAGGACTTACCAAGGATTGTACCAAGAGCATCCCCTGGTCCAGGGCTGCTCTATTGGAGTTCTATGGGTTAGGGCAGTGCCAGGGGTTGCAGCAATTTTGGGGCACACATCCCCCCTTTCCATTTTTCTCCCAGAGTGGGAAAACACTTGGAAATTCCTGGGAAAATTGTCTTTTTTCTTTTTTCCCCCCCCCTGCCACTTGAGGCTGGTTTCCTTCCTTGCAGATTGCAGGCTCCATGGTGATACCACCAGCAACTTGCCAGCCAGAATAAACCAGGGGGGTGTCCCCACTTCACACCTTCCCAAGGCATCACCATCTCTCCCCTGCCACCAGCTATTTCCTCTGCAGTGAGAGGGGAAACTGAGGCACAGACCTGCCCTTTCCTTTCCAAGGAGACCTTCTCCAGACCTTTGCACGAAGAGATGGGGCTGATGGGGCTTTTGCTGCCTTGACGTGGCCAGAATTGGGCCAAAACCAAGACTGGCTGCAAAACAGAGCAAATGGAGTTCAATCTAAACCACTCCATGCATTTCATGTTCACTGTGGGAGTGGAGGAGTGTGGAAAAATGACAATTTTGACTCATTTCTGCTCCACCGAAGTCGCTCGTTGCTGCCTCAGTTTCCCCTTGGATAGAGAGTCTCCTCCTCCGCTGTGAAATCCTACGCAAACCAACCCTCTTAGATGGCACCCTCATCCCCAAACCCACCCCAAATCAAGCCCTTTTGGGGTTGGTATCCCTCCCGCTTGGCTGGGGGCAGCCACAAGGTTTTTCAATCATCTGCTAATGATGGGAAAGCAACTTTTTTATTCCTTCTCTTCCCCCGCTCTTGGCAGGGAAGGTGGAATGTGGATCGTAGGAAGGAGCAACCACCTTTCAGGCCAACAGCTGGTTTTTTGGGGGGGGTTGGGGAGTGGATGGGTTAGATAAATGTGCAGGATTTCCAACCATCCTGGCCAGAAGACTTCACAGGAGCGGGGCTGAACGGGGGGAATGACCAGCTCTGATAACGCCGCCTTCATCTTGAGATGATCCCAGATGGAGAATCCAACGGGAAAACACCGCTCGGGGTTGTGAGAGGAGGTGGCAGAGATCAAACCAGGTCATCCCAGCTGGAGAATTCATCTCCCAGCCCACGCAATTTTGGCCAGCAACACCCTCAACTATCGCGCCGGGACCTGTGGATCAAGCAGGTTTAGCTCTTAATTTTATTTTTTTTAAGCAGATCGTTGGGGTTTGTGGGTTTTTTTCCCTCCTCTTGTGTAAGGCAAAGCAAATTCTGGCTCTGCTCCTCCACGTCCATTCTTTCTTGTGGGTTGCAGGGGTGACAAACAGCCCAGAGCCCTGGGGGACCCAAAAACGGGTCAGACCAAAGGAATTTGAGGCAACATGATGCAAAACTTCACTGGGGAGAGATGACGACGTGCTTCACGGCCACGTTTTGGAAAGAGGGATGACCAAGCAGTGACTGGAGGCTGGATTTGGAAAAGAAAGGAGGGAGGGATTGGTCTTTTCATCTGAATTTGAAGAGGGGCTGTCGTGGAAGGGAGCGTGGAAGGGCTGATGAAAAGCCTGATCCCAGCTGGATTCTCTTGGATCCCTCCCTCTCACATCTGTAGCTGGGATCCTTCCTCTCCAAACCTCTTCTCTTCGCAGAGGTCATTCCTCTTTCCAAGCCTCCTTCCCCTCCTGCCTTGCAAATCTCTCTGCCCTTGTCTTCCCTCCTTCTGGGAGGTTTTTGGGGCCTTCAGCGGAGCCCCTTCTCTTTTTCCCCCACCACAAAACCTCCTCTTCTCTTGGCTTTGTTGGGACAACATCCCACCAGCAGCTCTGCCCATCATCAGCCGCGTAAAACAGGTCCCTTTTCATCAGAGGGACCCAAAAATGATGAGGGGAGCTGGCTCTTGCTGACAGCCCCGGGGTGGGAAGAGCATCCCAAAACGAGGAGTTGGTGGGTTTTTTCTGGTTTCTCAAGGTCACCCCTGCAAAGCTGGGATGAAATTCAGCACGGGAGCTTCCAGAGAAGCTCCAGCAGATCTGGGAGGGGAGCGTGGAGAAGGACTTACCAAGGATTGTACCAAGAGCATCCCCTGGTCCAGGGCTGCTCTATTGGAGTTCTATGGGTTAAGGGCAGTGCCTGGGGTTGCAGCAATTTTGGGGCACACATCCCCCCTTTCCATTTTTCTCCCAGAGTGGGAAAACACTTGGAAATTCCTGGGAAAATTGTCTTTTTTCTTTTTTCCCCCCCCCTGCCACTTGAGGCTGGTTTCCTTCCTTGCAGATTGCAGGCTCCATGGTGATACCACCAGCAACTTGCCAGCCAGAATAAACCAGGGGGGTGTCCCCACTTCACACCTTCCCAAGGCATCACCATCTCTCCCCTGCCACCAGCTATTTCCTCTGCAGTGAGAGGGGAAACTGAGGCACAGACCTGCCCTTTCCTTTCCAAGGAGACCTTCTCCAGACCTTTGCACGAAGAGATGGGGCTGATGGGGCTTTTGCTGCCTTGACGTGGCCAGAATTGGGCCAAAACCAAGACTGGCTGCAAAACAGAGCAAATGGAGTTCAATCTAAACCACTCCATGCATTTCATGTTCACTGTGGGAGTGGAGGAGTGTGGAAAAATGACAATTTTGACTCATTTCTGCTCCACCGAAGTCGCTCGTTGCTGCCTCAGTTTCCCCTTGGATAGAGAGTCTCCTCCTCCGCTGTGAAATCCTACGCAAACCAACCCTCTTAGATGGCACCCTCATCCCCAAACCCACCCCAAATCAAGCCCTTTTGGGGTTGGTATCCCTCCCGCTTGGCTGGGGGCAGCCACAAGGTTTTTCAATCATCTGCTAATGATGGGAAAGCAACTTTTTTATTCCTTCTCTTCCCCCGCTCTTGGCAGGGAAGGTGGAATGTGGATCGTAGGAAGGAGCAACCACCTTTCAGGCCAACAGCTGGTTTTGGGGGGGTGTGGGGGGTTGGGGAGTGGATGGGTTAGATAAATGTGCAGGATTTCCAACCATCCTGGCCAGAAGACTTCACAGGAGCGGGGCTGAACGGGGGGAATGACCAGCTCTGATAACGCCGCCTTCATCTTGAGATGATCCCAGATGGAGAATCCAACGGGAAAACACCGCTCGGGGTTGTGAGAGGAGGTGGCAGAGATCAAACCAGGTCATCCCAGCTGGAGAATTCACCTGGAAGACACCACTCGGGGTTGTGAGAGGAGGTGGCAGAGATCAAACCAGGTCATCCCAGCTGGAGAATCCACCTGGAAGACGCCGCTCGGGGTTGTGAGACGAGGTGGCAGAGATCAAACCAGGTCAGCCAGCTTGGGAAAGAGCTGGAGGGATCTCCTCCAAGACATCTTCTCGCTGCCTTTTTTATTTTGGGGGATGCTAGGGCTGTCCCCACAGGAGGAACCAAGCCAGCTCTGAAGAGCTTGCAAGGTGAGACCAAGGTGTGGTTTTTCCACCACCGCCGGGGCAACGGAAGGGCCACCAAAAGGAGGTGGCACCCAAGAGAGGCAAGTGGGCAACCATGGGCTGGAGAAGAGCTGTGTCTCTGGACAGATGGATGCACGGATGGACTCTGCTCCCCACCTGGCACCTGAGGACCATCTCCAAATGGACTTCCCAGCCACCGAAGCACCTCTGCCACCGTCACGGGTGGACAACCTCACACAGCAAGAGGAGACCTTACGGGAAGTTGGGATTTCTTCTTCTTCTCCTCCCTCTCTCCTCTCCCCTCCCTGCTTGGGGAAAATGCTGGAAACCGGGGAAAACCCTGGTCTGAATTTCCATCTGGGCAGGGTCTAACGCCGCCCCAGGAACGCCGTGATCTTCCACCCTCCAAAATCAAAGCAAGGCAAAAAAGCTCTCTCCTTGCCAAGGGCTAGAAATCCCATCAAGATCCCGAGGCGTATCATTCCAGTGGGAGATTTCTACTGGGGGGAAGGGGCAGAATGGGTTATTTGATAATTGGGTTGGGCTTATTTTTTTATTTTTTTTTTAAAAAATCCTTAACATCTCCCTTCCCTCCTCGACTCCACGGCACAACTCCCCTTTCCAACACATGCACGAGAGCAGAGCTGAACCGTTCGCGCAGAAAACAGGTGATAAATCACGGGGCCATTGATTCAAACCATTCCAGGGAATGGGAAACACATGGAGGGCCTTTCTAATTAACTGTTTGATATGGCTGCGGTGAGTTTGGGTGTAGTTTCCAATGTTTTGCACTTGGCTTGTCTCAACCCTCTCCATGGCAACCCCAGTTTACCGGAAAGTGAGAAAATCCTGCGCTGGAGAGAGCTGAAGTGACTGGGTAGAGCTCAGCTCCACCACAATAATAAAAAGCAGCAAAAACAACAACAAAAAAAAGTAAATACGGTGTTTCCTCTGCGGGAACGTTCCCTTTTCTTTCTCTTTCCAGCTGTAAAAGTAAAAGGTCTTTCTGCTTCATCTGGAAATCTCCTCTCTCTGGTGGGTTACGGAGCGCTCGGACCCATTGCCCTCCAAGACACACATGGGTGAGGATGGAGTCCCATCTGCCAGCACCCGTCCATCAATTCCCACTGAGGGACCCAAAAAACCTCCCTGTCCCCTTTTCTCAGTCCAACCGACCCCCAAAAAACCCAAGAGGCCCCTTCCCACCCGTACAGCCCACCAGTCTGTGCTTCTCATGCAAGACACGCCAACGGGTGTCTTTTTAGAAAGGGAAAGGTGGCATCTTGCTCCAAAGTGTCACCTTTGGGGGGCTGGGGTTGCAGAGTGGTACCCCCAGGAGGGTGGGTGTTGGGGGGGTAGGATGCATTTAGCCTTGATTTATGCTGTTGGAGTAACCAAACCTTTTAATTCATGGTTAATTCTTCACTTCAAGAAGCTCGGCTGAGGACACCAAGTGCTCCAAGAGGTGGCTCCATAATTTGGAAGAGGAGCAATGGTTAATTTATGGTTAATTCTTCACTTCAAGAAGCTCGGCTGAGGACACCAAGTTCCAAGAGGTGGCTCCATGATTTGGAAGAGGAGCAATGGTTAATTCATGGTTAATTCTTCACTTCAAGAAGCTCGGCTGAGGACCAAGTGCTCCAAGAGGTGGCTCCATGATTTGGAAGAGGAGCAATGGTTAATTCATGGTTAATTCTTCACTTCAAGAAGCTCGGCTGAGGACACCAAGTGCTCCAAGAGGTGGCTCCATGATTTGGAAGAGGAGCAAGCCCAGCTCTGGTGGACGTGCAGAGACATTGGGACGTGCTTCTCCCATGCGAGACAGGACCTGAGGGTGGGACAAACCACGAGCACCTGGAAAGGTGACCCCTTCCAGCACCAAAATCAGGATGGAGCTGAACCTGGAGGAGATAGAGGTGACACAGGGCGCAAGGGCTGGGTGCTGGGAGCTGCCAAAAGGGCATTTGGAGATGCCAGGAGGACAGGGAGGGGTGGGCTGGGGAGGACACCATGGCCACCTGGTGGGGTTAGCAAGATGCCCTGGGGACACTCTGGTCCTGCTGACATTCCCAGAGTAGCCAGCGCATTAAAATGTAATTTTAAAAGGAATAAAGGTTTAATCCAGTGGTGTTTGAAAACAGTTTTTTCCCCTTATCCTGCTTTTGGCACGTCCTCTCCAGCTGGGGCATCACACCTCGCTCCCAAACACGGGCACAGCTGGAACCACGGCCGGGCAGCCCCAAGCAGCAAACCAGGTCAGGATGTTAATATTTGATTTTTTACTAGCTTTTTTAATTTATTTTTTTTATTCCCCTTCTTTCTCCCCTTCCTATTTTCCCCCCTTTCCTCACCACGACTCCCTGGGGGAACATCTGGCCCAAGCCACTTCTGCTTCCATTTATTGGCAGCTAATTTATTGGTGGATCAGGGGGGGAAAAACCACCCCAAAAATTCACCTGGAGGTGGATCAGTTGACCCTTGGGTTATATTTGCTTGAGTGCAGGTTTTGTCGGTGTTTTTTGGGGGGGCCTGATCCAGAACTCAAGGAATTCAAACACGGATCCCCCCTTTAAGATGTGGGGCCGTTAGATCTGGGGCCAAAAACACCGGGGGAAATTAGTCAAATAAATGCTCTGCGAATATTATTGCATATTATTCATTCTCTGGGAATATTTTAGGCTATTATGCGCTCCTTGTGCGTATTATTAAAGCAGCTCCCACTCGAAGAAGGAAATTAAATAGTAAAAAGTGGTGGTTTTCCCCATCCTTTTATCTTTTATGCTCTTTTTTTCCCCACCACCCCTTTCTTCCAAGCTTGGAAGCACCTCAGAAGCTTCCAGAAGCACCTCAGATCCCAGCCCGTGAGTGGTTTCACCCTGGGATGTTCTTCTGGGTCCGTGTTTTCGCCGTCACCCATCGCTGCCAGGGCTTTTCCATCATCCTCCCTCCTGATTATTTGTAATTTTAGCAACGAATTCCACTCCTTGCATCTGAAAGGTGTCAACAGGCCAATAGTCCCTTGTCAGCAGACTCTTCGGAGCTCTCTTAAGCCTTTCCAATGGCTGTGGATCCTGTTCAAATTTTCTCTCTTCCCCATCTTTGGCTAAAATTAATCCAGCTTTCAAAAATATAAATGATTTTTATTCCCTCCTCCCCCACCCCCTCTTTACACAATCAAAAGCTTGGGCTTATTTATTTTTTTTTGCTTTGAATCAAAACCCAGAGCCGTTTTCCAAGGAGGCATTTTAGGGGGAGGGGGGGAAATAAATAATACTAAAAAAATTGACAAATTTTGTAGCCAAAAAGCGAATTGACCCTTTTCCCCCCAGGGGAGGAGTTTCATTTATTTCTGGCACTGGTGGTCAACCTGTGTGTGAGATGAAAGGGGGGTTCTTTGCGTGGGGGCTTTTGGGAACAGGGAATGTTTCTCCTTGGTGGAAAAACTCCTTCTTAGATGCAGGGCAACAAATTCTCCTGGTTTTCCAGCCCCATGTGGGCCAGCAGGAGCCGGGAGCCGGCAACTGATCCAGCCTCAAGGAGAGAAACGCCTCCAAAACACCCCAAAAAAAAGCCATTTTCCCCATTCCCAACGAGCACCCGGGGACTCATCTTTATTTTTACAGGTCAGCTAGTTTTTAGAAGTTTTGTCAAACTGTGGACACCCTGCCCAGCTCTCGGTCCCCATCCCACCAGGAAGGTGTCCCCAACGATGGCTGGAGCCACCTCCTTTGGTGGATCCCTGATGGAAAGAGAGACACTGGCATCACGTCTCACGGGGGATCATCAGCTCTACCGAGCTCAGCTTTTCCTGCTTGTCATCAAATCCAAACAATTAAATAATGGGAAAGATGGAAATCCAAGCTGGGAATGGAATCACCATGTGCTTTCCCACCTTGGCAGGGCTTTGGGGTGGGTTTGGGCTCTTCTGTACTTTGCCTTTTGCTTTCGATCGGGGAGGAAGTAGTGGGAGTGTGTGATGAAGAGACTATTTACAAAAAAACCCAAACAAATATTTTCGTTAGACATCTACCCTTCCTGATGGATATTTGTTTTGGGAAGGGAGTGAGCTCTCAGTAATGGCAGATGTTGACTTCTGCAGCTGCTTTGGGCTTTCTGGACCCGTTGAGGACTTATTCCTTTATGGTGAAACAGTTGGGAACCGAAAAAGAAGAACCTCCTCTTGTCCAGAGGGATGATGAGCTGCTGGTTTCATCTCCGGCACTGATTTACTCTGTGACCTTGGTCATCTCCCTTGTCTCCTCCATAGAAGATGTCCTGAGATGCTCATGGAGATGCCACCATTCCCAGCCCCACGGAAAGCCAAGGATCGGTGTTTTTCAAGACAGTAGTCACAGAATCATTCAGGTTGGAAGAGACCCTTGGGATCATCGAGTCCAACCATCTCCCCTACTCTACATAGTCCTCCCCTACACCATATCCCTCAGTACCCCATCTAAAGTCCATCTTGAGTCCATTTCTGCAGCAAATGTCTGATTAGAGGCTGCGACGGTGTTTTCTTCACAGGCTCTTTCTGCATTCCTGCCTTTTAGTTCCTTGGGAAAGCATCTGGTTTCCAGCTCCGGGTCTCTCCAATCTGTCATTTTCCACAAATATACAAACATCCCTTTTTTCTGATGATGGATTGGGGGGGATGGTTGCACTTTGGCTTGGATTGCACAGCCCGGACTGGAAGAGAAGGGCTTTGAAGTTGTGAAAACTTCACATTCCATGTCCTGCCAGCAGAACAGCGTGCAGGAGAGACACCAGTGCTTGGAAACGGCCACCCTGGCTCATTTATGCCTCATCCAGCCTCACCCCCTATATGACCCACTCATTTAATTCACCTAAAGGGCATCATTACCCTCTGCTTACTCCACAGTAAGAGGGAGGGGGTTGGATCTCACATGGATTTACACCAGGGGATGTTCTCCTGGCCTCTGAGGGACCTCTTGGGACCACCGCTTAAATATATATACCCCACACTTAAATCCCTGTAATAATACTGCCTCTGGGCCACTGGGGCTCCCTGTAAACCCACTCTGAGCTCCCAGAGGGACCACATGCACAAATTGCCTCAAAAAAAAAAAAACACCACCACCCTTGGATTCATTTCCACCATCTCCATCCCTTGTATCCCAGGGATTTGCTTTGGAGACCCCCTTCTCAGCGGCACCAGGGTGGCAGGAGCCGTGTCCGTCGGAGTGTGTCTCCCCAAAAGGAGCGTGATGGGATCTCAGGAACCTTCCCTTCAGTGTGTGGAAAAATATTAGCTGGTACCACGATGATTTTCTGCTGATTTACTAGCCCAAGCCCTAAATCAACGCTTGTCAGAGGCTTGAGTTACGTGCCTGGAGATGGATGGAACCAGCTGCCAGGAGGAATTACCAAGCAGCAAACTCCAGTTTGAAATCACTACATTCTGCCTTGGAACCAGCTTGAAATATTCAGGTGATTTATACAGTAGGAAACGGCTTTATGTCCTTTTTTTTTTACCACTGGGGTCCCGAATCCTGCTGGTAAAGACCTGCAAAATCTCCCAGGTTTAATCTCGTGTGTCCAGAGGAGAGCCACCAAGCTGGGGAGGGGTCTGGAGAACAAGTCCTATGAGGAGAGGCTGAGGGAACTGGGCATGTTGAGTTTGGAGAAGAGGAGGTTGAGGGGGGACCTCGTTGTCCTCTACAACTCCCTGAAAGGAGGGTGTAGAGAGGTGGGGGTTGACTTCTTCTCCCAAGGGAATCATGACAGGAGCAGAGGAAATGGTCTGAAGTTGGGGCAGGGGAGGTTTGGATGAGATCTTGGGAAGAATGACTTTCCTGAGAGAGTGGTCAGGCCCTGGAACAGCCTGCCCAGGGAGGTGGTGGAGTCACCATCCCTGGAGGGATTGAAGAAACGTGTAGAGGTGGCACTTCAGGACATGCTCTAGTGCCCGAGATTGTTGGGTTGTGTCTGTTTGTGGGTTTGTTTTGGGGTTTTTTTGGGTTTTTGGTGGGATTCTTTTGTGGTTGGACTCAATGATCTCAAAGGTCCCTTCCAACCATGAAGACTCTGTGATTCCTTACCCTACCTTTTACTTACATTTTAGATTCTGCCCTTCTTTAACACCCACAAAAAGCCCCTGAGATGCTGCAGCGATGAGCGAGACCAGAGGGAGAGGTGTTACTTTGCTTCTCAGAAAAGCAGAGCTGGCTCCATTAGGAAAAAAAAAACCCAAAAACCCTGTGTCTCATAGGAGTAAATAGCGAGTTAATAAATTAGGTGCCAGCAGATGGTGCTCAATAATTTGCATCCTCCTCGCTGGGGTGAAGGGGTCCCAAAAGGCTGTTGAGAAAGAGCATTAAAAAGCTTTTTTTTGCACCAAAATAGAAGGAAATAGAGGAAACTGAGGCAGAGTTTGGAGCATCGTGATAGCTTTTATTTCAAGCACATCGTGGCATTAATAAGAAAAAGCACCTTTTTCTTTCAGTTGAACCAGGGTCAGTCTCAGACCCTGGTCCCTGCATCCCCAGGCTTTTATTTGTTCAAAAAAACATACAGGTGGGGGAAAATAACATGAAAAAGAAGACATTGCAATTCAGTTTAGAAACAATCTCCCGGTGCCTGGGGGAGATAAAACTCCAAATCCCATCATTCCCTGTATCTCCTGTGGATGTTCTGCTTCCATCCCTGAACCCAGGCTTTGGGTTTTCTCACCTGCAAATGGAAAAGCGTGAAAGGCAACGGGTTGAGATGAGCAAATGGCCTCAGGGGCAGGAGTTAGAATCATAGAATCATAGAATTGCCCAGGCCAGAAGGGACCTCCAAAGGCCATCTAGTCCCACCCCCCCGCAGTCAGCAGGGACACCCCCAACTAGACCAGGTTGCCCAGGGCCTCGTCGAGCCTCTCCTTGAATATCTCCAGGGATGGGGCCTCAACCACCTCCCTGGGCAACCTGTTCCAGTGCTCCACCACCCTCCCAGTGAAGAACCCTCTCCTCATCTCCAGTCTAAAGCTGTTCCCCTCCAGCTTGAAGCCATTGCCCCTCGTCCTGTCACTGCAGCCCTTTCTAAACAGGCTCTCCCCAGCCTTCCTGTAGCCCCTTCAGGTACTGGAAGGCTGCTATTAGGTCTCCCTGGAGCCTCCTCTTCTCCAGGCTGAACAACCCCAGCTCCCTCAGCCTGTCCTCGGAGCAGAGGTGCTCCATCCCCCTGATCATCCTTGTGGCCCTCCTCTGGACCCTCTCCATCAGGTCCATGTCCTTCTTCTATTGAGGGCTCCAGACCTGCACACAAGACTCCAGGTGAGGTCTCACCAGAGCAGAGTCAAGTGGCAGAATCCCCTCTCTGGACCTGCTGGCAACGCAGCTTTTGATGCAGCCCAGGATGGGATTGGCCTTCTGGGCTGCAAGTGCCCACTGCCTGCTCATGTCCAGCTTCTCCTCCACCAGCACCCCCAAGTCCCTTTCCTCAGGGCTGCTTTCCAATCCCTCACCCCCCAGCCTGTGCTGATGGTGAGGATTGTTCCGGCCCAGGTGCAGAACCTTGCATTTGCTCTTGTTGAACCTCATGAGTTGAGTGTTTTTCTTTCTCCCGCTGCCATGACTTACCTGCTGGTGCTTTTTTGGATGTCTCTTTGCCTGGGATCCCTGTCCCTGCTCCCTCCTTGCCCCCTGTAACCCACCCCTCACACATCTCCTCCCACGTTGCTCAGAAGCCAACTATGACATTGAATTTCTTCTCTTTTCCAGCCTCGAGTGAGCATTTCACCACTCTCAGGTGCTGCAGGAAGGGACTGGTGGTAACAAATCCTCCTCCTTTAGACCCAAACCTCCTCTGGGGACCAGGAACTGGCCGTGTGACCCCCAGCCTTCAAAGGATGCTCCAACCTGCAAAAACCATGAGGTAAATAAATCAGGGCAACAACTTAGAGTAGAAATGTAATTTTTTTTTTGGACAGGGCTGGTGCCTGGGTGGCCAGGAACAGTGGCATGGTCCCATCAACCTGGGGAGAAGCTGGTTTCAGTGCAAATGAAGTGTTTGCAGTGGTCCCTGCCAAGCAGCCAGGGATGATGGTGAGATAGGATGATGTGGGGGGACACCTCGAGGACATCCTGTCCCGTTTCCCCCCCCAGAAGGACCAGCTGGTGCAGCAGGTGCAGGGGATGGAGGCAAAAAAACCTGTTTGGAGGGCTTAGGAAAAGCTGAGGTTTCTGGCAGGTTCCTGAGAGGTTTGGGTCTGGCCCCGAAACGGAGCTTTTTGCTGTATAAATTGTGGGATTAGAGTCAAACATGAAAGCGGAGCAACGGGCCAAAGGCAGAGCTGGCAGCTGGAGGGAGGTTGGGTTTTAATCTCTGGAAGCGTCTCCCAGCCAGGCTTTTTGAAGAGAAAAAGGGGGGAGAAATGAAAGAAAAGGGGGGAAAACGAAAGAAAAGGGGGATCTAGGGGGTTGGGGATGGAAATAACCCCTGAAGGAAGAGGGATGGGGCACCGAGAGAGTGGAGAAGTTGATCTATCTCCAAAACAAGGCTCTCCAGGGGATGGGGGAAGCCACCACCTCCCTGAGGACCATCTCCCAGGTGGGTTTCACCCATCCTGGGTGACACCAAGCTCTGTCCCACTAGTGGGAGGGTGTTTCCCCCCCCTCTCCCCACCCCGATGTCTGGTTGTTACTGGTTTTGCTGGAGATGAAGTTCTGCTTTTCAAGACCGGGACCGTGCACTGGGTTGACCTCCAGCCTTTTGCTGCCGTGTGGTTTGGATTAACTGACTCATTGTTTATGGCTGGGTTTCATGGCCCTTTGGTGGGGCCGAGATACACACACACACACACACAAAAAAAGAAGTCATCTGTGCTGGGCACGGAGGGAGATTTCATCTGCAAAGCATCGATTCCTTGGGAGATAGGCAGGAAAGCAGTGTTTTCCTTGGAGTCTTGGAGAAACCTGGGATTCTTCACGGAGAATTTCTTCTGTGCTGCAGGTGTGGCCCCCAGGACCGAGGGGATAAACGGATTTCCAGCATCAGAAACCTTATCTCCATCCTCCCAACTTTTTTGTTTTCGCTAGCCAGTCGGCCAGACGTGCTGGGGGATAGAAGTCAGATGTGTTCTGAGCAGACGTGAGGAATTCGAGCGGGGGGAAAAAACCATACCGTGTGGATGAAGCAGGAATTTGAGAGCGGAGCCGCTCCGTACCTCCTCCTCCTCATGGATATCTGCTGAAAACGCCCCCATCCTTTAACCAGACGCCCCCTGAGCCCAGCCCTGTGGGATCTGAGGACCTCATCGACCTCAACAACCCAGTCTTTCTTCTTTTGGAGGCCAAGCAAAGCACCGAGCCACGCTTCTTGGTGGTGCCATCATCCCCACGCGTGACCAGATGCAATGGGACGTGCCAGCTCCCCATAGCTGTGCCCACAACTCCCTCCTGCTCTGATTCCTCCCTGTGCCCGGGTAGGGTTTTGCTGAATGAGCCCACTCCTGGTCTGCAACAAGGGGATTTGAGGCTTATCCCTCCTGGAGGAGGATCTCGGCCACGGTGAAGGTCAGATCCGTGTCCAGATGTCCTCAGGGTCTGTGGGCGTTGATTGCAGATTCCTTCCGGCCCCGTCCCTTGCACATTTCCGTTGGCTTCACCCTGCTCCTGGCTTGGAAAAGGCCAGAAGATTCAACAAAAGCAGCTGCTGCCACCCATTACCCCAAAACCTGCTGGCACGAGGCTTCTAAATAACCAGGGGGTGGCTGTCACTGCCAAACCTGGCATGAGGACCTTCCTCTTCCTCCTCGCTTTATGCGAACATGCAAATCCAGGCATTGAGGGTGAATAAAAACTGACATTTAGGGACTAATAATCAACTTCCAGCCACCAAAACCCACGTTGGTCTTTCCAGCCTCCAGAGATGGGGTAAAGGAGGGTGGCAAACCGAGGCTGAGGTTTGGTTTTAGGGTGGGACCTCTGTGTTTTCTTCTGGTTCTGGCAGACAAAGGGGCATCCCTCTGTACTCGTTGCCCCAGGTGCTCTGGGGAGACCTTCCAGCCCCTTCCAGTCCCTCAAGGGGCTCCAGGAAAGCTGGGGAGGGACTCTGGATCAGGGAGGGGAGCCCTAGGAGGAGGGGGAAGGGTTTGACACTGAAAGAGGGGAGATGGAGATGAGACCTGCGGGAGAACTTGTTTGGTGTGAGGGTGGTGAGAGCCTGGTCCAGGATGTCCAAAGAAGCTGTGGCTGCCCCATCCCTGGAGGGGTTCAAGGGCAGGTTGGAGGGGGCTTGGAGCAACCTGGTGTGGTGGGACGTGTCCTTGCCCAGGACAGGTGGTGGAATGAGATGGTCTTTAAGGTCCCTTCCAAGCCCAACCATTCTATGATTCTGTGATTTGTCACCCAGAGACTTCACCGTTCCTGGGCTGGATGATGTCTCTTGTACCCTGAGCTCCTTTGTTAGGTCGTACCAGGCTCTGCTATTGAATATTGGTGCCTGCCAGGTCATAAATTCAAGGTGTGGTGGAACTGAGGCAAAATACATAGTGTTAAAAAGCACAAGTGTAAGACTCTTGGGTCATCTTTATGTTCTTGACCTCTCTTCCACCGCTCCAGTCTGCTCGGGGCCGCCCGGCGCTCTTAGCAGACAATATCCCATTGATTGCCCGAGGAGCTCCTGCCAACGGAGAGGGCTCCGTGGTGTCCCCAGGCCCCCCGTGTGCCCTCGTGGAACGCCTGGCACAATGCATGGACTGTGTCCATCGGAGCATCGTCGCACCAACGCGACCGTCGGCAGCACAAAAAGGGTCTTATGGTGGCGGGGGCACAGGCCTTCCTTTCTCAGGGTGGTGGACGTCATGGAGTTATTCCCTTTTCTCGCCAAGAAACAAAACACCCTTTAGAAATGAAGCAAAAAGAGCTGAACTGGCCGTGCCTCCACTCTTGTCCCCCCTCCCTTGAGTGAGTGGCCTTTTCTGGAGGGTGCCCTGCCCGTGCTGATAACCCCGGCTCACGCTGGCCCCCAGGGCCCCCGGGGAGAAGGGAATTAACACTTCATATTTCTAATGGGCAAGAGCGTCCAGGCTGCTGCTGTCGAAATTCCTCCTGCTCTTCTCCAGCAGCCCCAGCAAGAGGCCAACCAGCCGGCGTCCAGGCTGCTGCTGTTGAAATTCCTCCTGCTCTTCTCCAGCAGCCCCCGTTGAGTTTTTGGCTGAGTTTTTGTCCCCGGAGATCTCCTGCCATCAGCATCACCCCAAAACCTCCCTCCTCCCAGGAACCACTGTTCTCGGGGGTGAAAAGCCAATCTGCAGGTTGGGAACTTGTAAAAAAAGCACAGTGAAACGTTGAGGAAAACTCAAATAACAACATAAACCCTCCCGGCCATGAAATGGGAGCAGAGACTCCAAGGAGCCGGCTCCTGGAGGCGTCTCCATCATCTGGCTCCATCCTCGAGGTCGTGCCAGAGCCTTTGTTTTTGCTCAGCGCTGGGTGGTTGTTTGGTTGCTTTTTAAATATATTTTATTTTATCTTCGATACCATGTTGTTTTTATGGAAGCCTCTTTCCCAAACAGGGCCTGTAAAACCTTCGAGCCGTGTCCCCTCTCCCTGCCCCTTCTTCCCCAAGTAAATATTTTTAGATCTCGTAAACACAAGCCATTAAGCACTTGAGAGTGAAAAACAATGCTCTGGGGAGGCACCACGACATGGGGGGGGGAAACCCACGTTCCTCTCCCTCCAGAGATGCTTAAAGCACAACCCAAAATCACACCCTTGTCTCAGCTGGACCCCGTGACCTGGATTTGGGACCCACCAAGGTTTGGGACCCACCAAGGTTTGGGACCTACCAAGCGCTCAACCCAACCCCTGGTTCCTTCCTTCACGGGGAGCTGGGAGGTGGCAAAACTTTGCAAAGCAGGTGTGAAACTAAGGGTGGGTTTTTTTTCAAAATAAACCCAAAGGAACGAGCTGGGCAGAGCTCGGTGGGTTGTGGCGATCCCCAAAATGTCACAGAGCTTGGAAAACTCCCATCCTGATCATTAATCCCCCCAAATCTTTGCTGGATCCTGTGCAGGAGACACTGTGTACGAGGATGCTTTGCTGCTTTTGGACCTCACAGTGCCTGGATGATGAGCTGATGAGGTGCTGTCTATCGGTTCAGATAGCAGGGAGGGGAAAAAAAGGAAAGATTTGTAAATTCTACAGTTGGAAACCCCAGTGGAGACCTCCTTGGATTCAACCTCACCCCTCTCCATGAGCTTTCCTGCTGCCGCTGCCCGAGCCAGCACCAAAGTACATCCACTCTCCCATCCCAGCTTGGACCACAGAATCCCTCCAGCCTTCACTGGGTGGAGAACTCACCCCCCTTTTTTTTTTTCCTGTCCTCATCCTGGACATTTGGGGAGATCTGAGCAGCCACGGTGTTTCTCTGGGCTTTGCTGGAGGAGAAGTTTTGTAAGAATTGCTCAAGGGACCACAGAAGAGATAAAGAAGTTGCCCACGAGGACCGTCCCGTTCCCAGGTCTCAGCGTTCGACCCTGGTTGTGCAATGAAGGGGGGGCTGGGATCATGCTGATGAGTCCAAGATGTCCCCAGGAAAGGGGACATCCAGAAAAGGCTGGAGGAAGCCACCCGTGCCAGCAGAGGACACTGGGAAGGTCTTTGATGAGAGCAGATATGACGTTGGCTTGGATTGCGAGAGTCCTTTGAAGAAGCAAGGGGTTGAGCGTGTGGCTTTGGGACAGAAAGTGACTTTTTCTGGCTGGTTGGGGTCATTTAATCTGCCCAGCTTGGGTCTGTGGGACTCAGGGTGGCCTTGAAGAGCTGGATGTAACAGGACAAGGTCTAGAGATGGAGGCTGGGGACGGGGTTGAGTGGCATGGCCAAATGGAACGAGATCAGAGCCGGGCTCCTGGCCAAGGTTCAGGGCAAGGCATAACTCGGCGTTTCCCAAGCTACCCAAGCCTTTGGAGCTCTGCATCCTCCTGGGATCAGATTCCCATGATGGATTCCCAGAGGCAGAGACAGAAAGCTTCCCAAAAGGGCCCAAATCCCAGCTGCGGAGCAGCTTCCTTCCCAGGCTATTTGTGGTACATGGACTTCTGAAGAAAAAAAGGGGCTCCTGGTTTCCCTCCTCCCAGAGGAACCTCCCTTCCCCCTGCAGTGACACAAGTCCAAGGCCCATCCAACCCCCCCCATGGTCTTCCCACCATCCTTCGGCCCCAAAAAGCATCCTGCTGAGAAACCATCCCCTCTCCATCAGGTGCAATCACAGAGGAACCTCCCTTCCCCCTGCAGTGACACAAGTCCAAGGCCCATCCAACCCCTCTATGGTCTTCCCACCATCCTTTGGCCCCGAAAAGCATCCTGCTGGGAAACCATCCCCTCTCCATCAGGTGCAATCAGGCCCCTGCTTCCTTCCTTCCTGGGCTTCGTTGCACAATTAAGGATAAGGCCCATTTATTAAGCTCCCCTCCTCTCTAAGCAGCAGCTGAAAGCTCAGGAGCATCCCAACTCATGGTTCCATGCCTACGGGGTCTCCATTTCTATATTTCTTTCCCTCCTGCTTCTCTCCCACACCCTTTGTAGGAGAATCATGTCATCCATGAGGCTGGGGAGGGACTCTTTGCCTGGAATTGTAGTGACAGGACAAGGGGTAACAGGTGTCATCCATGAGGCTGGGGGGGGACTCTTTGTCAGGAATTGTAGTGACAGGACAAGGAGTAATGGTTTTAAATTGGAAGAAGGGAGATTTAGATTAGATATTAGAAAGAAATTCTTTCCTGTGAGGGTGGTGAGACACTGGAACAGGTTGCCCAGGGAAGTTGTGGATGCCCCATCCCTGGAAGTATTTAAGGCCAGGCTGGTGGGGCTTTGACCTGGTCTAGTGGGAGGTGTCCCTGGCCATCACAGGGGGGTTGGAACTTGATGATCTTATCTGTTCCAACTCTAACCATTCGATGATGATTCTATAATTCTATGATTTGTGGACTTTTTGCTTTCCACGGGTTAAGGGATGCTGGTGGCTTTTTGTAACCCAACCCCAAGAGCTGAGCCCTCGAGCATCGTTTCCCGTCTTGTCCTCCTTCCCAACCCTGAGATGGGAGAGTTTTGGTGCAAATGGGGGTGACATCAATGTGTTGGGTCTTTTTTTCACAACAAAATACATATATTATCCTCCTGCACCATTCATTTTCCTCTCGGTTTTAATTACCCCCCCCGATCTAAGCACCACTGAGAGCTCTCCTTGCCTTACTGTCCCCAAAATGAGTCAATGCTGGGCTTGGGAGGGGGGTGGAAGGATGTGGGGAGGGGGAGGGAGATGTCAGATTGCCCTGAGTCAGAACAAAACCGTCAAATTCAGTCAAATGGGCTTTAAACCAGCCCGATGTGAGTAAACATGGAAGCTCAGCCTGCAAAGCCTGTCCAAACACTCCTAACCCCTTTCTACTCCGCAGATGTTAACACTGAACAAGCCAAGAGGGTGAAGGAAAAGGTTTTCTTTTCCGATTCGAGGAGAAAAAGGGGGATGTGGCTGCTGGAGTTTGCATTTTTGGGTGGGGGAGCCTCAGGTGGCGGCGGGATGTGGGATGCAGCCATCCAGCCTGGAGCATCCCCCCAAAAAAAAACCACCCCTCGCAAAGGTGGCTCTTTTTTCTCCCCAGTTTGGCCCAGAATGTGGCTCAAATCATCTATGGGATGTGCTGGGGTGGGTGGAGGGGGTTTGTTGGTCGGGATGGAGTTGGGGGGGAGTGATTTAATCTCCCTCGGATCCGCGCCGCAGCACGTGTAGGGAAGGAGCCACGATGCTGAAATAATGTTATCTTAGCAAATGGGTTTGTTATGGTTGTCGGCTTCCTCGAGGAGCTGGTTTTTTTTTTTTTTTTTGGGGTTTTTTTTTTTTTTTTTTTT